TTCTTTTCCACCTCATCTTTTTCAACTTCAACTTCATTTTGAACTTTGGTTTCCAATTATTTTCCACTTCTTAGTTTAATAGCCTTAATTTGCTCTTTGTTCTAATATTTAGGATTTATTTCAACATTACTAGGCAACGTTCCTGGAGGTCTATTGTTAAGTGTAGTAGCAATGCACCCTAACTAATTTCCCATGTTTCTAATTACAGCTCCTTGACTTTTTAACTGACTTCCCATTTGCAATATTAATTCTTCCATTGATAATTTCTTCTCATTACTCTGCAAATTACCATTAAAACCTGGAGGGTAATAAGGTTTATAAGTTGGATTTCCTTGATTGTTGAAGTTTCCCAATGGGTTTGCGGCATTATTCCCTCAATGCAGATTTGCAACATTAGAGTTATTGTTACTCCAACTGAAATTTGGATGGTTTTTCCAACCAGGATTATAATAATAAGCATAAGGATTGTTAGAATGATTATTTATTGCATTTAAAGTTTCATAAGAAGATTGAGAATCTATCATTTGTCCCAATGAGTTTTCCTCAAGCACAGGTGGTGTTTGAAAATAATTCAACCCATATTGATCTATCTTCTTCTATATAACAACTATTTGGGCAGCCATAGTAGATATTGGATCAAAATCATGAATATTAGCTACTCTTTTTAGATTTAACCTTTCAAAGGGTCATTGAAAATTGTTAGTAGCCATCTCTTCAATTAACGAATATGCGTCATTGAATGGTTTTGACATTAATGATCCACCAACATCAGCGTCAATTATCAATCTAAGAGATCCAATCAATCCATTATAAAAAGTTTGAATTATTAACCAATCTGGCAACGCATAGTGTGGACACTTCCTAAAGAGATCTTTAAATCTTTCTCAAGCTTCATAAATTGGTTCCCTTCAAATTGACAAAAAGATGTAATATCATTTATAAGCTTAGCAATTTTTCATGGTTGGAAATATTTAGATAATTTTTTGTGATAAGTTTCCTCAAGTTCTGATAGATCCGGGTGCTAACGAGTTTAATCACATCTTAGACCTTAATGAAAAAGGAAAAAGTCTAAGTCTGACGACATCATTTGACACTCCATCATATTTAAATGTAGCACACAATTCTAGAAAACTAGTTAGGTTTAAGTTAGGATCTTCAGTTGGTGTTCCCTCAAACTGATTGTTTTGTACTATTTGGATAATAACAGTTTTAAGCTCAAATGAATTGACAGCTATAACAGGGTTTGTATACTGAAATGAATTTCATCTACTGTAGGATTAAATTAATCTCTTAAAGGTCTTTGATGATGTTAATTTCCAGAATTAGTTGAGTTGCAAGCCATTTTGCAAGAATTATCTATTTCTTTTTTGTTTTCGAATTTTTCGAATTGTTCTTTCTAACTCTAAATCATAAGGTACTAAATTTTCAAATCTTAAACTGTGCATAAACAAACACAATAAGCAGTTAAAGTAAACAAATACACTAAAATATAAAAAAATTTAAATTAAAGTACAAATAGTTTTTCAGTTCAAATAAAATGTTTTAAATTATAAAATAATTTATCGTTACTTTTGTTACTTCCCCAACAACAACGCCAAAAACTTGATGGGGGAGTTTTTGTTGTGTTATTTTTGTAAATATTTTTCACTATAAAACACATACGACAACACTTATAATAAATATGTAATTCAATCCAAATAAAATAACTTTAGTAAAAATAATTTTATCTTTTAAAATCTATAAATTGTCAAACCCATAATAATAATGCAAGTATACGTATCACTCGAGTAATAAAGGGCTATAATAGAGTCCTAAGTATCGATCCCACAGGAAAGTTGGAAATGCTTATGACTATAATATAAAACACAATTCAAACTACAAAACTTAAGAATGAAATTTAAATCTAAAGTAATTGAGTGTATGTTAAATTAAATACAGTTAAAAAAACTAAGTTAACTAAACTAATTACTAAACTTCAAAAGTAAACTTATGAAAACTAAACAAAGTTTCAGTGATGAAGAGTTCAAATTTAAGAAAATATCATTTTCCTTTACAATGAGTATATGGATTGTGAAGAAATTATATATATATATATATATATAAATAATTGTATTGTGTCAAATATGAGCAATCTTATTCTTTATCTTCTTTCAAGTGCATAAAGAACATTGACAAATCCAGAGTTTGGTCCCTAATTTTGTGGTTAGGTTGGGAGGATATTGCATCTCACTTCAGAGCTCCCACTTCTCCCTCGCCCGAGGGCTAACAAATCTCGCATTAGTTTTCAATCAATTGGACCAAATTAAGAATTTTAATATGTCACCTTAAAATCTCTAATTCTGCATCCAACAAAGTATATTTCCCTATTTATTTGGATTCAACTCCATGAATAACATCCTCAGCAATGGAATTGAATGTGACCATCACCATATTGTAGAAATTATAGCGCTTTCGAATCATATGTTCCTCAACACATTTTAACATTTCAATTGGCCATATCGAAAAGTAAATGAAGATCAGAGTTCAAATCATCACAAATTTTTTACATTTAAAATCGTATAAAACAAAAATCAATTATTCATAAAATCATATCTCGGAGTAGAGAAAAAAATAATGAAGACTACTCAGAATTCATGAGAAGAAAACAACAAAACATAGATTTCATATATAAAAATAAGTTTATAAAATAAAGAAATAAAAGATAACTTATCTCACAATCCTTCCTAAGCAAATCCCTAGAAGTTCTCTTTAAGTATTTTTCCTCTTTACAAGCACTCTCAATTCTCTCTTGGAAATGTAATGAAGGAGAAATCTCTCACTTTCCCTCTCCTCTTACAACCCTTGAAGAAAATCTCCAAGTCCTTGACTCTCTCTCTCCACCGAACTTCTTTATACGCCATCCTCTTCGCTCTCTTTCCACACTTTTCTCTCTCACGCCACACTCATGTCCTAGATTTCTCTCCTTTTAATTAGTGGCTTCCTCCTCTCAAAAGGAATTCAAAATTCCTCCAAAGTTCTTTTCAAAAGTCAAACCTTTTGAATTCCAAAAGACATGTCCATTGATTCAAGAGACATCCTTTTATTAAAGAGTCTTCCAAAGTATCTAGACGCATTGATTCACTCCATGGTGCGTTTGAAATATTTGGAGCCTTCAAAATTATAGCAAAATTGGTCCTGAATCGCCTTAATTCATCAAGTGTCGTCTCTGGTGCTTCAGACGCCAATCTGGCGCTTCAGGCGCTAAGTTACTTAAGTGCACGTTGTTTTTGGGCTATGGCTCTCCAAGCACCGATTCTGGAGCTCCAGGTGCCGCCTCTCTGTATATTGGCGATTCAGGTGCCAAAATCACAAAATTCTCTATTTTGGCTCCAAATTTCCTCATTCTTGCTAATTTTGCTCCAAATGCCTAAAATTGATATATTTGTAACAAAAATATGAAAAATATGAAAATACCCAATGAAAATACCCATCTTTAAAGTTTAATATCACAAAAAATAAGCATAAAATGTATACTTAAAATAACACATTATTTTGGTGTATCACTTTTCCATAAATAAAATCTTTGGCTTTAATCTTCTTAGAGTTTGGCCAATAGCTGTTATGGCTCTTCTTAACAGTAAATCCTACATGATGTGCATAGGCACAATAGCTTTCATATGTTTCTTGATCATTGTGGACAACAGTGCGAAGAAATACTTCCGTAATTGGATCATTGCACGTATTTCCAGACTGCAAATTAGCACACCAATTTAACGATGGTTAGATATAAAACAAAAACCACAATAACATCACGAAAAATTATTATAACATCACAATAACACATCGGTCACATCACAGTAACACCACCATAAAAACACTAATAGTACCGCAATTACAACACACTCATACCAACACAATAATAACACCATAATAACACAACAATAACATCACAATAACAACATAATAACACAATAAAAACATGATAATAATACAACAATAATTCAGCAATAACAACACTAGAACAATACAATTCCTAAACCTTAAACCATAACACTACAATAACATCCTAATAACATCAACAGCATAGAAAAATAACACTAGAGTGACACCATAAAAACAAGCTATAACACAATATTAATCCTAAAAACTAAACCAAAATAACAAACCTATACACCACCATTATACTAACATAACACCACACTAACTATAAAGCTAAAAAACCTTCAAAAAACCAACTGAAACCAGGATAACACATTAATACAAAACTCATACTAAAATTAAACTAAACTAAACGCACATCCGATTGAACCGGTTAACATTATTTCCTGATTTCATCACCAATATTTCTTCGCCGTCAGAGAAATCCATTGCACCTGCTCGGAACCCAATGTAAAGACAACCTAAAGCGACAAAAATGTGCATTTGCAGACTGGCGGTAGCACAAAAATGTCAAAAATCACTTTTTGAGGGATTCGCTTTGAACAAAAAATCACTTTTTTTTATTTTTGGGGCAATTGATTTGGGCTGTGTCACGCTAAATAAGTATTTTTTTAATATTTTTGAATAGTGGGTCCCCCTACTCTGATGGCTTCTTCTCTTTGGACTCCACATGAAGCTTTTCGTGCGAAATTCAGACGTAATTTTTTTCATATCTTCTTTTCGTGTGAATCGCCCGTATCGAATTAATTATATCATTCGATTCACAGATTTATGTTGTGTTTTGGGCAGTTTGTGTTTATCCAAATAAACAATTTATCTTGAAATGCGGCCTGCGGGTGGCTCGCGGAGTTCGACCTCTGTTTAGTGTAAAAATTCAACCGTATTTTTTAATAAGTTGTCCAAACGTATTTTTCAAATTGTGAGACGATATTATGAAGGTGCCGCTCACATTTATAAGCTGCCCCCAGACGGCTCATTATGAAGGTGCCGCTCACATTTATAAGCTGCCCCAAACGGCTCAGGGATTTAGGGCCGAAATAAATAGCTATTATTTTGTCTAAACTGACATTCTTGGCAGGATTTAGGTCAAATACACGTTAAATCCGCGAATAGTAGTATAGTACCCATAATCGAAGAGAGAGCTTCAGGACGGATAATGGTTCGGCGAGAGCGGTCCGATGATGACGATGAGATCCTCTTCCGCTATCCCCTTCCATCCGCATCCGACAGCCATGGTCCCGCCGCATCGGCCTCTTCATCGAAGGTTAACTCCGGCGGCGGTAGCGGCGGCAGCGGCGGCCTCGCACCCTCCAAATCAACGGTTTATGTCTCAAATCTCGACTACTCGCTGACCAACTCCGACCTCCACACCATCTTCTCCACCTTCGGCAAGGTCGCGCGCGTGACCATCGTTAAGGACCGCGACAGCCGCCAGAGCCGCGGCGTGGCCTTCATCCTTTTCGTCTCCCGAGACGACGCTGCTGCCGCCGTTCGCACCGTGAACAAGAAGATCCTTTACGGACGCACCATCTCAGCATCTATTGCAGCCGACAATGGCCGTGCGGCCGAGTTTATCCGTCGGAGGGTGTACAAGGACAAGAGCCGGTGCTACGAATGCGGAAAGGAGGGCCATCTCTCCTACGAGTGCCCGAGGAATCAACTTGGCGCCAGAGAGAGGCCGAATCCGAAGAGGATGAGAAGAGTGGCGCAGCGTGGAAGGGAAGGTGTTGGTGATGGCGGGGAAGACGATTTCTCGGATGGCTGGGAGGGCACGAATTTTGAGGAGGATAACTGGGCTTCTGTGGTCGATACGAGGGGAGAGGACGAGAAAGCTGAGGGGAGGAAAGTGGGCAGAGATTTTAAGAAAAAGAAGAAGAAGGAAAAGAAGTTGAGTTATTTTAGCGACGAAAGCGACGATGATGAGTAGTCATTCGGTATGTTCCTTCATCCTATATGAGACATTTCCTACTTCGTGGGTTATATTTGATCATGCATTTGCATCACGTGGTGTGTGATATGCGTTGTAATTCTTACTTGATACAGGGTACTATGAAGCCCATGAGTAGTATGCTTATTGTCTTTTTTTATCTTTTTTTTTTTTTTTTCGTTGAATTGGATGCATATGATCTGCTTAGGGCTTAAATATCTATGGTTTTAACATACATTTATCTGGATGAGAAGTAATTATATGAACCTTGGTTTTAATTAAGTTGCTTCTCCGTGATTTGAGGGTTCTTTGGCAATTGCAGCATCTTCAGCCATCTAAATTTTGATTGGAATCCTACAATAGCTATGATTAAAGAGATATTGATTTAGTTCTCTTTTTTACATGTAAGGATGGAAGGGAAAAGCAGGGATTGTGATCTCACAAGGGTCAGGGAACTCTTAACATATCTTAATTTATGAGCGTGCTATGTTGAATGAAAGTGAGTTTCCATTGGCAGAGTGATTTATAGGCGTAATTAGGAACTTGTATTTTTCTTACGAAGTTGTGCCTAAGGATGGATCCAAAATTGCCAAGAAATAGTATTCTAATGTTACCAAAAAGACTAACAGGAAACAACTAGAGAGAGAGAGAGAGAGGGAATTTAAAGTGAGAATGTTGGTATTTGATTAGATTGAGGGAAGTTCATGACTTTGAGTACAAATAATTTGATGCACTTCATTAGTGGTCTTTCCCTGTGACACTCCTAGTTTATATGCTTGAATCCATACTTTAGTGTTATAGGAGTGCTATACTTGAGCTACATAAGTAGAAAAACATATACACGTGAACATGGTACAACAATGACAACAACAACAACAATAACAACAAGTTTTATCCCACTGAGTGGGTTTGGCTACTTGAATCTTTTTTCTCCATTATGTCATATTGTGATCATTTTTTTATAAAATATGTCGTAGTCTTTTTAGATCTACCTCTGCCTTTCTTAACATTTGTCGAAACTAAAACATCCACTCTTCTAACTGGATCATCAGATGGTCGATGTTTAATGTGAACAAAACATCTAAGACGACTCTTTCTTTCTAATCTTATCTGCCACTGGAGCTACACCAACCCTATCACTGATATATTCATTTCACATTTTATTTTTAAGTGCCAGGCCACTCATCCACTTAAGCGGGCTCATCTCAGCAACACTTAACTTTGTTTTATGATTCTCTTTTAAAGGCCAATATTATGCACCATAGAGCATTACAGATCTCACCACCATCTTATAAAATTTTCTTTTCAGTTTAAGCGATACATTTCTATCACACAATAGGTCCGAAGCATTCATCTACTTCAACCAACCAATTTGAATTCTACTAATAACATCCCCTTCTATATCACCTTCACTTTGAACAATTGACCCGAGAAATCTAGAACATTCACACCTTTGAATGATTTGATCACCTATAGTTACAACTCTGCTACTAGAACTACTACTACTAAAATTACAATGCATGTATTCAATTTTAGCTCAACTTAAACGAAGGCCTTTAGACTCTAATGTAGACCTCCATAATTCATGTTTTTTTTTCTGAACTCTTTCTCTAGTATTCACAAGAATTATATCATCAGCGAAAAACATACATTAAGTTACATCCTCCTGTAAATGTCCAGTAAGAGCATCCATTATTAAAACAAAAATACTTGGTTAATCCTCCTATTCAATCCTCCTATTCGAACATCGAACATAAGTAACAACTCTAGTAAACATATCTTTAATGACTTGAATATAAGTCATATCAACACTTTTCTTCACTAGAACTCTCCAAAGGACTTCTCTTAGGACTTTATCGTAATCTTTTTCTAGATCAATAAAAAACATATGTAGATCCTTCTTATTCTCTATGTGCTTCTCTACCAAAACTCTCAATAAATGCTTAGCTTTCATGGTAGACCTGTCCGACATAACCTCAAACTGACTATGAAAAATATTTTTATCATGTCTTAACCTATAACACATCAACTTAGGGTGCGTTTGGCGCAGCTTGTGCTTATCTAGATAAACAGCTTATTCTGAAATGCGACCCGCAGGGATCGACCCGCGACCTGCGTTTAGTGTAAAAACCCAACCATTTTTTTTGGATAAACTGTTGAAAACTGTTTTCCAAATAGTGAGGCGTTGTTTTAAAAACGCGGCACTTATAAGCTGCCCCAAACGGGCCCTTAATTCATTTATAATTTGCACACTCTTGTGCATCCCTTTTATTTCTAAAAACAGGAATAAAAAATACTCTTTCTCCACTTCTCAGGTATGTTTTTTAGCTTTTAAAATAATTTTAAAGAGTTTAGTAAGCCAAGAAACTCCCAAATCTCTTAAATATTTTCACACTTCAATTGGGATATCATCTGGTTCTATTGATTTTCTCTTATGCGATTGATTATAAACAATTTAGCTTGTTTTCTGATTATTTGAAGATTTATCTAATCTATTAGAAATTATCTAGATTAAAATTTAAATGGTTTGCATTTATTATGTTAACAATATTTAAGTGTGGTATTAATGTAAAATATAAAATTTAGTTTTTTGACATGTAAATATATAGGAATTGGGTCGTATTTATGTAAATGGCCCTTAATTTAACCATGAATGACATTGTAATCAAAACTTCTTGTGCATCTCAAAGTGTCTCTCTTTTCTCTTCATAGTTTTCTATCTTCCTTTGATTTCTTATATTAACAATTTCCTATGTGTCGAATCCTCTCGTCAACCTCCTCAAGTTGCCTTCGTTCTTCTCTCAAATTCGGTAGATAAAAATTTTCTTTTTTCCATAATAGTGATTCCTTTTGCCGCCTTCTCTTGCTCATTTCTCTCTCTACATTTATATTCCAATTATTTATGATTGGATTGAAACAAAAGATGTGCAATTCAAAAAATAATGGGGTTTTTACATACATACCAGCCAAAACTTTAGATATAAAACTATCAGCACCCAAACTTCAAAGTTTACTATTCAACCACCCAAATTCTTCGTCTATTTTGAAATAGCCACCTTGTGATTGATCCTTACCCTCGTCGCTTGCCCGTAGCTCAGTGCTTAGCACCAATTCGCACAACGCTCGCTTTCTTGTGGCTGTCATACGCCGTCTGTTTGTATTTCCCTTGAACTTCAACAGTTTCCGGCTCTATTGGAGCAGTGATGATGGAAAGAGGAGAGAAGGGACGTAAAAAAAAAAGAAAGGAACGTGCAAAATAGAAAATTAGAAATTTTAAAGAGGAAAAAAAAATCCCTCAAAATCTAGGAAAGAAAATTGGAAAAGCGAGGAAAAGGCGTGGAAGGGCAAGCACTCACTAATGCTCGCTCGTTGGAAAAGGGGCAAGAAAACTCTACGGGTCATCTATATTTTTTAAGTCAAGAGAAAACATATGTTTTATACCTTCACATTTTTTTTATTCTCTGGCTGCAGTAAATATTTTGAGGTCAGTCAAATATGTTTTTCATCTTATAACTTGAAACACAAGCCAAACAAAGGCTTTTTCGATGTTGCGGAAGGGAACAATATAAATGATTTCAGATTTAGGAAATTAATGATCTTAAAGGAATGGAAAGAGCAAAATGTTCCTTTAAAGAAGCTATACCTTTGGTGGCCGCCACCTCGTATCAGAATGCAGTTTCATGATATGTAATTATTTTGTAGGAATACTATGTTATTTTTATATGTTGGCAGATCAATGCATGTAGGATGTTAAAGTTATCATGTCAGCAATTTATGTCAACTTAATATACCAAAAGATATATTCAGAAAGTTCCATTATAAAATGAGGCATGAAGATTATTATTGTGATATATAAAATGTTGAAGTGCCCAACAGAGGAAGTATGGACTTTGTAATCCACAACGAGCCAATTGAAATTAGGAACTTTTTTTACAACTCTATCTTGCATCACCACTCTAAGCTTGTTTGTCAATAGAATGTATTCATGTGGGATTTCTAACATTGAGCCTTTTCTTTGTTCTTATTTCCAGCCTCATTCTTTTGAGGATGTGTTTTCATATTTTTATTTGCATATTTTGATGTGCGAGTACTCTCTCTTATATGGAGTTTTGGTAGCTCTACACTATAGTTTGGAATAGTCTCTTCACAAAATTCTACTGTGTTTTCGTCACTTCTTCTCTTTTTTTAAAGGATTCGTCAACTTCTCGATCGTCTTTTCCAAGTAAATCTCTCTTCTGGATCGTATAAATGATCTATAGAAAAAATGAATCAGGAATGATGGGATATACGATAATGAAGATAAATGAGAAAAAGTACATGGAGAACTTTCGTGGAGTAAACTTCGCGTGATAGCCTAAATGCGTACGTCCAAAACGAGATCGAGTCGAAAATGCCTTGGAAACATATTCGCAAAGAAGACTTACGAAAGCAACCCACAAACAGCGATTCAAGTGTGTGTGTTTGTTCTGAATCAAGAGCAACTCCGAGAGGGACACATCCTTTTGGTTAAGTACATCTTGAGGGTGCCCAAGAATACTCTCGATAAAAGGAATACTGCTTACACTTGTATAACGACTAGTAAAAGAATTCAAAGGATTGTTATCTCACAGGAGCGCCCCAATGTCTTCAAAGCTCACGTCAATTCATATGGGCAGAGAATAAATCTCTCACGATCTCATATGAATGGTAGCTTATTGGTGACCAGGGCCTATGAAATAACCGGGTCGTCCCAACCACACTATGTTTCCAAGGCCAAACCGTGCATAAGGGTAGATGATGAATGACTGTATCCCAAATAGGCGGCGACCTATCTGCAATCGGGGCCTACGAGCCGACATCGATGAACTGTCAGGGCTTAAAGGGGATAGCAAAAGAAAGGTAGAGTTATCCTAATCTAGTAGATATAGCCGGGTCAAAATACCGCAGATCCGTCATCTCAAGCTATTGAGGGACCCCAAGTCTATCTGGTCGTGAAGGTTGTCGACCCAATACAAATAAAGATCGCCT